AGTTGCCGGCTGCCTTATAAAATGTAATTAAGCAGAACAAGGTCCGAAGGGGTTATTTTTTTCCACTCAATCAGCAGCCAAATTACTAAATTTGAAATTAGTAAATCCCAGGCGCCTGGCTCGGCTTGTCATTGTTACAGAGAGATGGAGTGAAAGAATAGGCGAGCGAGAGAGGGACAGACTGTGAATGACTGCGAAAAAGGGTGGCCCTGGAATATTAAACGCCTTCTCAGGTGTCACCTCTCTACAGCAGGTTTCATTCGAACAGCCAAATTTAAATGATTGTCAGAAAGAATTAAAAGTGTGCCGTAGCACAAAAAAGCTGAGTAATAGTGACTACCTATTCATCTTCTGCTAGAAATGAGTTTAAAATAAGATGTGAGCTACGGTATCTCTCAGAAATTAGATATTGTATGGTGCCAGCAAACCGGAGGAGGTGCCGTAATAGAGTTAAAGTAGTTCTGGCATGTGACATTTGGGGCGGCTTCAAAGAACAGGGGAATTACTGTGATCAAGACACATAGTAGTCTCAAATAAATGTATTAAAGACCCAAATTGGACAAAAGTTAAAAAAATATATACATAGCTGTTGTGCATGAGATAATATCTGGAAAGTTCTGGGTGAACCAGACACCTTTGTGCAATTTGCACCTTTCGTTTTACACTTTATTTGGTAGGTTTAGAATCATCTTATGTACAAAATGGATCAAGCTTGGCCAATAGATCACCTAAGTGAAAATTTAAATTCTTTTACTTCTCTTGTCAGGAAGTAAGACCTTGCCACAGAGTCGGAAGGTCAAGACATAAACGATTTTTAATATGCTGAAGGCTTTTTTTTGCAGCCTTTTTTAATAATATTCATTCTACTTTCCTTCCCTCCAACCAAATTCCCATGGTTTTGTTTCTATAAATACGGGGAAATCATTTCAACTGAGAGAGTATATTGCTTTGGATTGAAAGGTGTAAGCTTGCCATAGGTGTTTGTTAGGAGAAATGCCACCCCGGGCTGTTTTGGGAGATGGTGGAAACTCTCTTGGTAGGTCAGTGCACATTTACAAATTAGCATTTCAATCAGAGAGACGGGCCCATGGAGCATTAAACAGTTATTTGTGTTGCATTCATATTATATACACAGAGCTAAACAAATTCTAATACAGAAATCCTAGACTGAAGGATTATTTTTCAATCTTTTTATTAGTATTTTTCAAAGAATGTTTTTTAAATTTGATATTAGAGAATTGATCTTTTCATGTAAATTTAATTTTAAAATAACAATATTATGGATTTATGTATTTATAATATTATCAGTTTAATATAATTTTATATTTAATTATATTTAAAATAATTATATGTAATGAATTATCATTTTAATATTTTAATTTTTATAATTTTAAAAATGATAATATTATTTATGTCATTTTAAAAATATATTTATGAAAACCAGAGCTTTAGGCTTTCGGCAGATTATATCATTTTTAATAAAACCTGATTAAAACTGGAAGAATCGCATATTATTCTTGTTATCAGTTATAACTTCAGCCTACAAAAGATCAAACCATTTAAGCAGAAATTTCCACTAACTTGACCATTTCAACTTCAGATGTTTTTCACCCTCATGTTCTTACTGTCGACCAGTACTTTGTGTTTTTTCGCTGGCCAACTCTTTTGTACAGGTAATGATTGTTAGCCATTAGCAGATGATGATAAGAAATGGATGGGGGCTGTTTAGCTGGATGACATGACTTGACAGGTGAATTAATGTATTTTCCGTTTGATGGGCGTCCTAATGGGGCACAGCAAACAGCTCCACTCTTAGGATGAAATATTAAAAGGCCTCAAGCCGCAAAAAAACAGGGACCTACTTTTCTTTTTTTTCCTGTCTCTCTCTCTTTACCTTTCAGTCTCCATAGATAGCAGTGCAAATGAGAGAACATCCTGCCCCATCTCACCTCCTTTCCGACATCCCTCCTGCTTGACCGAATTTTCACTGTCTTGTTTATGCCGCTCCACGCTGTTGACGTTCATACATATTAGTTCTTGGGAGGTCCGCCATGCTCTGCTTCCACGTCTTTGGGGTACAATTTCAAATTCTTCCAGCGGAGCTATTTTCTGTGACACTAAGGCAAAGGGGTGTTTATCCACAGTTTTACATAGAGAGCGACGCCACGGTGGCGCGGCGTCTCTCCTGGGCGTCCCGGCTCACCGTCCCCGCGTGGGGCGTGCGCCGAACGTGCGGTGACAAATGGCAATTATATTTGTGTGTTCTTCATGAATCCATCAAACACTGGCCTTTTAAAAATGCTCCCAGGATATTTGAGGCTGTCAGATCCAGGGGACCAAATTGGGATGCTACTTAGACAGTCAAGAAGCACTCACCCCCTGTTTGCCTGTGATGTGTTTGACAGAGTGTGTAGAGGAATACCATGTATTATTCAACTACAAATGTACACTCTCAACAGTTGTTGATATGTTGGAAGCAGAGCGGTTAGAAGACCAATTTGGACTGTTTTCTTTTCGCCCCTCCCTCCCTTCCGCACCATAACATGGTGTTTTAATGCGACCTGTCAGCTTGTGTACAATCACCGATTGCAATACAACGCTTGTTTTTTACGCTTAGTGCGGGTATTCAATTTTTATCACCTATCATACCTCGGGTTGAAGGCAACATTTATATTTTATCGAGGGGGAACTTTTCTTGTGGGTTGCATTGGCCTTTGGGCTTTCGTCAAGCCCATGCGATCCTATCAGTGTGCACCGGATGCCCACAGCATTCTCTGTTCTGTTGTTGGCAACGTGTTGCAAGATGCATGTGGAACGTGTTCCTGACTGGGCCGCTTTTGAGGCTGTCTGGTGAAGCAGAAGGTAATGTAGTGTTGTGATTAAAGATCAGGTCTGGTTCAAAATGCTGCAAGGGAGGGAGGATCCATAAACCATCACCGTTGTGCCCTAGGGCAGGACACTTAACACCAGGCCGCTCCGGGTGGACTGTCCTGATGTACAAATAACAGTTAATAAATTATTGCTTTTTAATAACTGCTGTTGCCTTTATATGTTTTTAAAACTTGACTTTCTTTGTAAGTAAGGTAGCTACCAAGCATGCAGTGACAATGAAGAGCTTTTGTATTGAGGATTTTAAAACCTCAAAGGCTGTTGATGTGCAAAAAAAATAAAAAATAGAAAATGTAAAATGTAATAATTTTAACTAGCAAGTCAGTATTCGATTTTTAAGTAAATGTGTAAATAAAACATCTTACAGTAAATTTTATTATAAGGACAATCCTTTTGGAGCAACCTGATGTTATCTTAAGAAACTGAAGTTTTCCTTTATTTATTTATTTTTACTTAAAAAAAACCTTGATGAAAACTGCTACTGTAATTTTCTTGGTGAAAAGACCATTTGTGACCCTGAACCACAAAACCAGTCATAAGTAGCACGGGTATATCTGTAGCATTAGCAATTAATGATTATTCTTTTATGCCAAAAATCATTAGGATATTAAGTAAAGATCATGTTCCATGAAGAGATTTTGTAAATTTTCTACCGTAAAAATATAAAAAGTACTTTAATTACTAGGAAAGTGGCCTATATTTATACTGAAATATAATAATTTGAAGTTATTTTAAATTTGAATACATGTATATATTATAAATCTTTTTTGAAAACTTGTTTTAAAAGCTCATTTTAATTTTTTTACATTCAGAAATATTGTATCTAAGTTTTATATTGTGTTTTTAGCTTTATTTCAATTAACAAAAACATTTTTAAATAGTTTTAGTTAACAATAACAGCACTGACCAGCACCCTTCTAGCCTTGAGTTTTGGTGACCACTACTCCACACTTTGTATAGTGATTATAAAATATACAAAAATTAATTGAATCATAATGAAACAAATGAAGCCTCTTGGTAGCCAATAGAGTATCCTGTTGGTTCCCTACATTTTTTTGACAGTGTTATCGCTCCTGTTTGCTAGCTGTAGTGTACATGGACAGCTGGCTGATGAGGTCGCCATGGCCTGTTTTTAATTGTGTTATTTTACATTCCCCTCAGCGCAGGATGCCCAGGATGATATGTTGTTATAAAGAAAGGAAAAAGTAATTAAGAGAAAACTCATTTCACATGCTCTCTGAGAAATTCAGGTGTCGCTGCCTTAAAACACACCAGACGAAATGCAAAGATCATTGCATAAAAGCCAGAATAAAGTAAAAAAAAAAAATTCAGAAATACAGGAAAATGATGAATAATTCAAAGGAGCCCAATAAACATGATGTGCGTATCCTGTAGGAGAGTACATAAGAATCCCAGTAGAGCTGAACGCACACTAGTGTCACTAACAGTACTCACTTTGCTATGGCTACTGTTGCATCAGATAGAGCCTCTCAGGTCAGACTGCGACCTTGTCATGTGTGTCACATGTATGAAGACTGAAAGCGCCTGGTTTTATGGAAGAGTGTATTCAGGTTATGGAGCGCATAGTGTTAGGATTGGGAATTGAGAACTGTTTTTATAAAAAAGAAATACACATATAAATCAAATTAAATAAAAATACAATCAAGCACTCGTGCGTGATGAACTAAATTTGAACAGGTAATTGCATGCTTTTTATTTTCCTATTTTCCCTTGAAATTACTAAACTATATTGATAATTAGCTCATTAATGAACTGGGATTGTTAAGTGCAATTGGAATGGGAGACAGAATCCTTATTTCAGTTTTTTACAGGGCATGATGGAATATGAATCCCCTGTGTAAAGTTTGTGATTAAAATTTTGGTAAATATTTGCTAAATATAAAATTCTTGGTTTGTTTTTTACTTGAAATTTACTAAAGTTGTCATTCATGTTTCGCAATAAAGTTCTTTTCTTGTTTTAAATTTTTAATATTACAATAAAAGTTATAAAAGGCCAGTAATTTAGCCAGAACACCATATTACCAATCCAGCTGTGAAGTCTCTCTGGTCCAAACCGATGATTACAAAAAATTCTATCTCTTTCTCTTTAGCTCAACCTCAGCCTCTACCCCAGCCAGCAACATCCCTGCAGCATGGCATCGACGGAGAGGCTGCCAGACAGCAGAACGGCCTGCACACGGTGCTAAGTAACGGCCACGGCACGCCCCACGGGGTCACACAGCCGCCCTCCGCCGGCCCCACATCTGAGTCCAGGAAGCACCCGTCACCCGTCTCGCACCGCATGCAGAGAAAGCTTCGCTCTAGTCTGTCGGTCAACAGCGACAGCAGCAGAAGGAGCAAAAGCAGCTCGACAGGTTCCCATAAACCCGGCTCAACTCCAGAGGGTACGTGATATCATACACGCAAACATACACTCGCACACAAACTCGTATGTGCTTGCAGATTTCTTATCCTGGTCTTCCCCTCCCTTCGTCTAACCACAACTAATATGTGACTTTTCTGTTCTGTTTCCCATAAATGCACTGCTTTATTTCATCTTTCATAACTCCAACTAGATTGATCTCTTTATTTCTGTGGTGTTGTATTGTCTCGCAAATGGGAAGGAAAAACAGAAGGCCGAGCTGAAAAAAGCAACTTGCGCATTGTCAGGTGTGATGGTAAGGAGAGGGCAGTAATGAAGGAGATCGCTGGTGCATTAGTAATGGTCACCAAGGTGTGACCTTTTAACAAGACTTTGGAGAGCAGGGGGTCTGCCATGTGTCAGCCCCACCTCAGCAGGGGCCGACGCTACCTTCTCTTACAGTGTCCTCTCATTAAGACCGGCTCTCTGCCTTGCTCCTGTGTACCAGCGATGCTTTTCTGGGTCATGTATTGCGGTTTCTTTACTGCATGATGTTCAGTCATGCCTGTCTGATACCATATCCCGTTTAAATCAAGCAAAGTCTTGTGCCTGCTGAGCACTTTGGATTTTCTGTAAAGCACTTTGTATGTTTTCTATGTTTCATTCAACGCGACCTGGCATTCAGCTGAATTAGAAGCGATAATTTGGGAATCACCATTCTGAATGGCTTGGGATACCACCAGTGACTGTACTAAGCCCGGATGCGTTTAAAAATTAAATGAAATAGCTTGACGAGTGTGACTTTCTCCTGCTGATGTGTTTCAGGAAGTTTGGAAAAAAGAAATTGAAATTTTATTTGATTTTTCTTCTATATTTTATTTGATTTTTCTTTTATATTTAAATTTTTTCTTCTATATTTTCTTCTAATTTTCTTCTATATTTTTTTTCTTATAAGTTTAATTTTAAATTAATTTAGTTTGTTTATTCATTTATTTGTTCATTTATTTATAGCCTTTTGTTCATAGTCACTAACCATAATTATATGCTCTATGCATAGTACATTGTTGGTGTTTGCTTTTGCTACAGTAGTTGGTTTTATTAAGAGAAGACCTTCTTGTACTATATTTATTGGACAGTACTTTTTTTTGTATTTATAAAAATAATTTGAGTAATACAGTCTTACGTGCAGGTTGAGTCATCAATTCGTTTCTATATTTACTTATTCATTTTTATTTATTTTCTTTAATATTAAGATTTATTTATTATAAAAGTAACCTTAGGCACACACACTTATTGGGGGACACAGTGTTCAGTGTTTGTGAACAGGCGAAAACTATGAACATTTTCCAAGACTGGAAAGTTTTCGAAAGGATTTATCACTCAGGTGATTAGCGAGTAGGAGCCTACTGTGAGGTGTAGCAAACGTTATCATCTCCCCACGGATTTAACAGAAATGTGTATCTTAAAAGGTGTCATAGTTTTCACATCTTAATTGGAGGGAGGGGGGCTGGGTGAACAGTTCAATAAGTCTGTCTCATTACAGCTTGTGTGCGTGCGTGCGTTATTTGTAGAACTGTGTTTTGAATCAATATGTTCTCTCAAGTAGTAATTTCCCCCTGGAAAACAGCAAGCTGTTGTGTTTTAATGTTTACATGGATTACCATAATCTGTTTGCCTGTGAAATTAGCCTCTAAACAGCCTGGGAAGCTGAAGAATAAAGCTTTACAAGATCTCTGCTCAGGGGATTGCAATTCCTCGTGTTCTTGGCCGCCGTCGCCGGCTGCGATAACAGCAACCCCAGCAGAAAATCAACTAATTGAGAGATCTTTTGTTCCGTTGCGGGTGGGTTAGGACCTTGAGTGATAGCGTGTTTGTGATTGTGTTGTGTTGTAAGCACGCAGTCGTCTAAAATCCCTCTGACAAATTCAATTAAGGCTGCGGGGTGTACGCAGAAAGCTAGCGCGGTTATTAGCGGTGCATCGTAATGCCATGTTTTCCCATCTTTGCAGCTTCCCCAGCGTATCCGGATCTCTCTTTCAAAAAGTTTACTGCGCTCACTTCCGTATTGACTGCAAATTAACTGCTTTTTAATTTTATTTTATCCCCCTCTCATTTGGTCACTAAAGCCGCCAAGTACGACCCATGCAGCAGTCAGTCTTTCTTCACTGCTCGCCGGCCTGCGACTCTTCCAGCTTGTTTTATGTCACGCTTCCTTTCTTTTTGATGTTAGCCTTTGGAGTTTTCCAGATGTCTCTAACTATTTCCTCCGAGGTGCTGGGGCTGTTTTTGGCCTGGCGGAATCTGGGCATCCTCCGCTCGGGCTGACATTAAACATGAACCCTCTCATTGGGCCGGTGTCGGTTTTGCAGCTGAGATAAGGCAGCCCGTCTCCTGTGTACATTACACAGACTCTCATTCCTTAAGATTCACACTAATCGCTGCTGATAAATTATACATCCAAGGGAATTCATTATGTACTGTAGCTTTTAAATCCATTTCTAGAAAGAAATTGTTAGCTAAAAAAAGGACAAGGAAAATCGATGTGGACACGTGTAATTTTTCGTACTTGTTTAATAGGATGGCACAGGGTTATTATAGTTAACTAAAACTAGAAACCATAAAAAAAATGTCATTACTTGAGATAAATTGAACTTTAAATAAAATAAAATAACATCAAATAAAAAAAAAAAAACCTTAACATATTTTAGTTCAGCTCGTTGCCAAAGCAACATTTTTCACTTTCGTTTAGTTTAACTTAATATACTTAAATTAATAACTAAAACTAAAACTGAAATAAAATGAATAAAAACTATACATTTAAAAAAATTACAAAAAAACAACAAAATTGCTAGAATAGTAAAAATTAGAATAGTATCTCAAGGATACTAAATTAACACTGGTATGGCGCAAATCGAATCACTATTAAATTAATCACTAATCAAATAGCAAGCATGCCATTTTTGATTAATAAGTATCGTATATAAGTACTTTATTTGTAAACGGTTGACGTGGCTGTCCAATAAGTCGGTATGGGTGAAATCTAAAAGTACAGCTGTTTGACCTTTCAGAAAGCTGGTGTTTTAAGCCTTTGGTGGGCCTGCATGCAAACTTGTTTCATGTTCAAACACTGTCCAGGCTGCACAGCACCACCGCTGGTCAGCTCCACCGCCTACAAAAAAAATCACTTTGATCAAACAAACATGAACATCCAGTGGTCTTCAGGCCTCGTCCTTGCTCTCTCTCTCTCCCTCACCAGAGCCCAATCAAACCCAGCGATCTCTCTGACAGCTCACCACGGACTGATGAAAGCCATGCAAATTCACGTTTTAGGCTGTTAACGATACACACCACATCGCTGTGATTTCTCCAATGCACCGTGGTTTGTGTTCTACAGTTGATTAGAGGTCCGAGCGGCACGTCCGGGCTGGTAGGGGTTCACTGTTATTCTCTACGGCACTGTTTATGCGGAAGCGCAATGTGTGCATCTTTCTGCTTATTGAAGCTGTAATCTTAGTTTGAGTGAAAGATGTTCTCTTTTTACATTGCCATTTTTGTTGTAGTTAGGTTTTTCTGTAATTCACATTAACTTTGTATGCCCTGTACATATTACCACACTACAGTCTGATTGTAAAGTAAATGAGTATTTACCTCTATTGAGAGAGGTAAGGCTTCAGCCGTTGATAAAGTCATCTACACTAAAAAAAAAACAAACAAAAAAAACATTGGTGTAGAAACATGGAACACAGAAAATGCTAGTAAATTTCACATTTAATTACAAAGAAATGGCAAGTAACACATTAATTTAAATGTGAAAATTAGACAAAAATTTAAAAAAATACTGCAATAGTCTATTTACAACTTCTAAAAAAATGTTTTACAGTGTACCATAACTTTTGTTGATTTATTATTTTTACTCACAAACAGTACAGTATACTTCGGTTATGCTAAAATTAATTAATAACTAATTATTTTATTTATTTACGTATAACAGATTGCTGGCAAGCGCTGACAAAACCCCCCCTTTTTTTTTTTTTTTACTTATAAAAAAAAAGTTTTTACTTATACAAACAGTTAACAGTTAATTTTGTAAAACAAACATTTATTTATTTATTTGTTTATTTATTTAATATCCCAACAGATGGACAGATGGTCATTTTAAAACAATATATATTCACGAACAGGCCACTTAGCTGTTTGGTTACTCTATGTAAATACATTGTGTTTTTGATTATTTATTTTATTATTTTTTACACAATTTCCTAAAAGATGGTCGGCCAGTGCTCCTGCAAAACTGTGTATCCATGTCATCTTAAACAACAGTAATTTGGCATCGTATGTGGCGGCCCTGCGAGAGGAAGGTTAAATGTTAATCAAAGATGAGGGAAACGACAGCATTAACACGCCAATTTGCTGGCGAAAATGTTGGACGCTGTTAATCAGCTTTACGTGACCAACCCTGTGCTTTTGCATGATAATAACCCCATTATTCACAAAGCTACTAATCAACCCAAAAGTGGAATTCGTTCCTTTTGAATTTCTCTGATTCCTCTTTTGCTCTCACCGCTGCTAAACCGCCGTCTTCACCTCCTACACACACACGCACACATACGCACGCACGCACCCACGCACACACATACACACACACACACACACACACACACACACATACACACACACACACACACACACACACACACATACACACACACACACAC